TAAGTAATGCAGTTGTTAGGAAACGGGTACTAGGTAAGGAAGGCAAATCGACTGATGAAGTAGTGAAACTTCGTCAGTTGAGATGGCTAGGACATGTGTTACGTATGCCCAACCACCGACTGCCACGACATGCAATGTTTTATGGTGTAGGAGTAGGTTGGAAGAAAGCTAGGGTTGGCCAGACCAAAACGTGGCACAAATCCATGAAGTCACTGACAATTGGACTGAGTCATGCTGGTAGGTGTAGACTATCTGGTTGGGATTCGCAAGATGATAGCAATCGATGGTTAGAGACCTTGAATGACATGGCTCAAAATCGTTTGCAATGGCGAAGGTGCATACACTTTTTGTGTTCTACTAAATTCTAATCTTCTGAATTCTTCATGTCCCTATCCTTTTTCTCTTTCCAGATTTATTTCACCGTATTATACTCTTTCAATAACATCATCAAACCCTAATCTTCCACATAATGCTTATACTCCTACTACATCTACCACTATGGAGTTTGAATCGACAACTGCATCACTGTGCTAATGTGGTATGGCAACTCAAACTGATGTACGTACGTACGAAGTTCTATATTGTGACTGACTGACTTGTAAAGTTTTAAGCGATGAATCAATTGTAGTTATATGTTGTATATTTTTAAGTTATTTTTAATGTATTGTGTGCACATTACTCTATTCTGCTTCACCTGTGGAATAGTAATGTTAATGTAGTAGTTTCGTTATTATGTTAATGTGTGGTCTGGATTTGTTATATCCCCTGATGAATTATGAATGGTAAATCTGAGGTCTATTTATGGACAAATGTAATATGCCTATTTCCTATTGTATAATTGTTAAATAACTGACCTAATCGTATTCGTGTTCCTCTTATCATATCCTTTATTTTGACCTTTGAACTATTATTATTGATTACTTTCCCCCTATCCACAGCCACATTGGCCAATTATTGTACAAATGTTCACAATTGATTGATCACTGGGTGGTGATCAATGTCATGCATGTCAAGTCCTTCTTAGTGCTGATCGAATGCTATCGATCAAGTTGCAATGTGGCCACCAGTCTAGGTGACTCGACACTGCTTGCACTATATATATTGAGGTAAGGTGGTGGTTGGAGGTGGTCAACAGGAAACCCTAGACCCGGGTTTCGTGCTACTTGGCACTCGTCAGCAAGGTGTACCTGTAATCTTTGAGGGAACTGATGCTCCCTGTTATTTTTCTATCTTTTGGTATGATGTGGTCTGTATGGTTAGTATGTAAACCCAGTATGCTTGTGTATAATGATTCATATTGCCGAGGCTGTTATTTGTGTTCTGGACTCAACTGGCTGGGCTAGGCAGATAGCAGGGCCGATACGCAATCAAGACTGCTCGTACGTATTTTATGTATCATTGGACGTTTATATATTAAGAGGGCACGCGCAAGCAATCGATATATCAAACAGACACCCATACGTTATAACAGGATTTTACTTCATAATAATGTATATGCGATTCATAAATGCATTAGAAGAAAATTTTAATCCGTAGTGTTGTGTTGTATATTGGCTATCAGAAAAGCGATTGTGTAAGAACTGAACTCTAAACCAAAAGCCGTAAATATTGATCCCGTCTGTTATCTTATTATCTCCATGTTAATTGTTAGTCGGTGATTGATATTAGATAGACAATCTAGGTGAATTAATCAATACTCAAACTAGATAGATTCAGTTACTCTCCTGTATCATGATCTGATAACACATACCCCAATAACAACTCAGGAAAATCGTTTTTAAATTCCGTCTCCCCACATTACTTACTTACTTAGGCCTGCTACTCCCAATGGAGCATAGGCCGCCGAGCAGCATCATCCAACCCACTCTGTCCTGGGCCCTCCTTTCTAGTTCTATCCAGTTTTTGTTCATTCTTCTCATGTCTGTCTCCGTTTATCTGTGCAATGTGTTCTTTGGTCTTCCTCTTCTCCTTTTGCCTTCAGGATTCCATGTGAAGGCTTGTCTTGTGACGCAGTTTGGTGATTTCCTCAAAGTGTGCACAATTCACTTCTAGCGCTTCTTCCTGATTTCTTCCTCCACTGAAATCTGGTTTGTTGTCTCTCACAGCAGGCTGTTGCTGATATTATCTGGCCAACTATCCGAAGTACCTTGCGTAGACAACTGTTATTAAACACTTGTATCTTCTGGATAATTGCTTTCGCGTTTCTCCACGTCTCCGTCCCTTACAGTAGAACTGTCTTCACATTTGTATTGAAAATTCTAACCTTTGTGTTGGTTGACAATTGTTTTGAGTTCCAGATGTTTTTCAGTTGTAAATATGCTGCTCTTGCTTTGCCGATCCTCGCCATCACATCTGCATCTGATCTACCGTGTTCATCAATGATGCTGCCTATAGGTCCTCCGGTGGCTACTGCCGGTCCCAAGCCCGGGTGAAGGAGGAGTGTTGGGCATAGGTTTAGAGACCCCATACCGTAGAAAAACAATTCACTAAAAAAAACGCTAACCAGTCTCCCCACATAACCTAGTTTGAAAAATGAATTTATTTAGTTGCCAAAGCTCACCTTCTGGAATGTGAAATCATCATTTATTAATTACAAGGCTTTGAATGGATTTTCTTTGGTGTGCATTCAAGTTAGTTAGTTATTTCAACTAGATAACTTAATCATAAATATTTTCATCAACTGGCAAACGAGTAATTAAATCGATAATCGTTTAATAAAGGTATTTGCAAACCTCGGAACTATTTATCACGTAAACTATTGCACTCACAAAATCATGTCCATTATGTATATTTTAATACTCCATACATGTTCAAGCTTATCACACTATGTTTGCGTGTTATATTGTTGTACATTTCACTGCATGTTCTCATAGAGTTCAAGTTACAAATATGATTGAAAATTCTGATACTGGTTACTAACAAATTTTTTATTTACCTACAACCTCGGATAACATATTCTATATATGAAGACTTATGTACACCATTAGATCCCTTCTAAGTGGTCTAAAGGTTAACTATTTACGTGCCAGACTGAAGATCCTTTGTTCAGTTCCTAGATGAAAAGTTATTGATGTTCACTATTGAGGAGTCCCGTAGTAGAACGAAACAGCTATCCAGTGCATGTTAGATTTCATGATCACGTTCTTGAAATTGTTAACAAATAAGGAATTTTATAGTCTTCCAAATGTATATGAGGTTTATAAATGAAATACGAAAGACGACAAAATATTAATCCTAAATTCATTTTGCCAGATCAGACCAATGAAACTGTTACCAAAAAATCATACCACTTCAAATGGTTAGTAAACGGAATGGAATACGAACAAACCCCTCAGTTTACGCTTATTGCTTAGTGAATATGTAAATAAGTGTGAAATACCATGGCGAGACTATAACTTATGAACTAACTGATGAAATTCAAGATATTGGATTTTGGAGCAAAATTCATTTATACAAATGGTTAAATAGCATTTTGGCACTATAGCTGATGTCAGTTCGTAATGTAAACGCCTACTTTAATTCCTTATACTAATTCAAAAAACCCTTTCATCTTAGCAATAGGTGGATATTCTCAGTGTCGCTTTAGCATTGCTAAAAAATTGTTCATAAATTATAATCTCACTATTATCATTACTAAGTTATTCTGAAGTAGTCGAAAGTTACATAACACCCATGTCATTTTACAAGTAAGACATATGAAAACATATTCTTGATAGACATTACTATAAAGGTTTAACCAGTTGGAAAAAATAAGCCATACTCTTCAGATATTGTCAGTTTTTAAATTTCATATGTAACTTCAGAAGGGAATACATATAATATATAGAACACAGTCCCAGCGTGAAAATCAACTTTGAGATGAAGGTACATCCAGTTGACGAGTCCCGAATAGCACGAAACACGCGTCCTGGATTCCACTGCTAGCCACTATCCATCTTTGCTTATAATGCTTGTTGATTAAGGCTATATCGAGGCAATCCGCACAGTATGCACATATGCATATAAGAGACTGACCATTTGCAGTCCTAAACATCAATGGGAAGATTTAAACAAGTAATACTAAGTGAATAAAACAATATTGTTGCGAATTCAATGCATTTAATTTAGAAGTTTGTGAGATAACATGAATCTCAACTCATATGACAAAATGAATGGTGGAAACAGCTGTTTATAAGATGTTAGAGAAGATTTGTATCTCATGTGGATGATTTTGATAAAGTTTTCTCACTACCAAACCATCCAGATTAGACAACAAAACTACATCAAAAACAGCTGTTTATCAACAATAATCAGTGAAAAAGCAAATAAAGTACCCAATAAATATATTATTAAACTTCATTCTAAGCACTTCTACCCGAAGTTTATGCTGATGATGTCGTTCAGAAGGACGATGAAAGCTCTACGACCAAGCCATCCAGCTCAGAGAACAAACTCACATCAAAATCACCCACCTGAGCTACAAATCTTCCCCATCATCTCAAGCATTTTTAGTATTAAATAAATCTTTATCTGAAGGTTTTGTGGAGATTTTAGTAATTTTATAGTTGAAATCATGATTCATGGATGCGTGCTACCGATGAGTTCAACAATAGGACGAAATGGCTATCCAATGCTTCCAGGGTTTTCATGATGATCTAGCTTCAAACGACTGAACTATATAAAATATTTATCTGTCTGTTTATTTTATTTATAATATTTTTCTAACATGTTGTAATTGTTATCACATAGAAACGATTACCTCTCTCACTCTCTCTCTCGCTCTTGCATGTCGCTCTTGTCATGTGAAAAATGGTTAAAGTCATAAACCTGTGTATTAACTAATTAAAAAAACTAATTAAAAAAAATGAATTTTTCATTAAAATTGTAGATTATAAAAGATTAATTATTGACGATGAATGATATAAATAGATTACCAATTACATAATAAGTTGCATAGGTCACTACAGTATAGTGAATGAAACGTTCATTTTGATAGTTATTCATGAACCATGATTAATTCAATGATAATAATCGTTATTATTTCTTCAATTGTATACATCAATTGCATTGTTATTTCAAATAATGGTTCATATCAATTTCAGTCACAAAAGCAAACGTTTAATGCAAATGGATATTCAATGCATGAACAAAATCAATCACAATCATTTATTCACAATAACAATGATGGACAACACATCATTCAGAAGCAAAGTCAACAACAAAGTCAGCATTCATATTCAATCCAATCACAAATTCAATATCAATCTCTAAACTATACAAACTTGCAATCATTGATGAATCCACAAAACCAGAATGATGATTCACAAATTCCAGTCGATCCAACAAAACAATCATCAGGTTCACAGATATCTAATCAACCAGAATCATCTAGTCAGTCAGGAACTGACATTGATCCTTCACTACCTGATAATCATCAACAACAACAACAAGCAACAGAACTACCCCAAGAATCTCAGGATAGTCAACAACAACAACCAACACAAGAAACTCATAATGAAGCAGATTCTCCACAACTCCAATTATCACCACAATTCGAACAGTCACAATCTAATATTAGTGATTTGATGTTAGTTCAACTAAATTCATCTAAACAGTCTCGAGAACTACAAGATAATCAAGATCAATCATCACAACAGTTACAGCCTGAAATGCAACAACCACATCAAATCGATTTATCATCACAATTCGATCAGTCACAATCTAATATTAGTGATTTGATGTTAGTTCAACTAAATTCATCTAAACAGTCTCGAGAACTACAAGATAATCAAGATCAATCATCACAACAGTTACAGCCTGAAATACAACAACCACATCAAATCGATTTATCATCACAATTCGATCAGTCACAATCTAATATTAGTGATTTGATGTTAGTTCAACTAAATTCATCTAAACAGTCTCGAGAACTACAAGATAGTCTTAATCAATCATTACCACAGTTACAGCCTGAAATACAACAACCACATCAAATCGATTTATCATCACAATTCGATCAGTCACAATCTAATATTAGTGATTTGATATTAGTTCAACCACAACCACCTGGACAGCTCCAAGAATCCGATTCACAGATTCTAAATGTGTCAAAACCAGTAGTCGAGTCGTATTCCAAATTTGACGATTCACAAAGTGGTGTACCAAAACAGTCACTCGAAGCTCAGCTCACTCCGGATCCTCCATTGTCCTATCAAAACAGCAACCATAACAACGACTAAAACATGCTTTTGGAGAGTCACAGGTGACGTCAGAGACTCAAATATAGAATGAACAACAAACGTCCTCCTGATCATCTGATCAGTCACAATCCACCGTAACTATTATTACTAAATAATATCACTTTGATTTGTTACACATGACCTTCATTCTCAAGCACATTGTCAGCTTTAAATTTGTAATTACTTTTGACAGATCACTAATATCACGTGGTAAAACAACAATCACGATATCGATTTTTATGACTTCGTCATTGAGCTAAGCAACGACACACGAACCGACACTAGTAGCTTTGAGTCAATGATAAGTCCTTATTGATCCTCGACTTGGTTTCTTCTTTCCCCTCTCAGACCGTTGAGTCGAGAAATTAGTATCCAGCCTCCATTATACGAATATTATATTACAAGCGTTTATATTTTGTATCCAAACACGTACGACCACACTACACCATAAAATGGAAAATAACAACTACAGCTAATCAAGTCGAAAAGTGTCTGTGAGGGGGGGGAGACTGAATAATGAACTAACAACAGATTAATAATGGAAATTTGTTATTCAAAATCTTTTGATAAAAGTAGTGTATATATAAATTCATTTAGTATTGTTTGTTTGAATCTTCCCATCGATGTGTTAGGACTGAAACTGGTCAGTCTCTAATTGGCATATGTGCGTACTATGCGAATTGCCTCGATATAGCTTTAATTGGCTATCAGGACTCAGTGGCCGAGTGGATAACGCGATGGCGTTTGAAGCGAGGGTACTCGTTCGAGTTCCAGAGTGAACATCAACTCTGAGATGCAGGTACATCCAGCTGACGAGTCCTAAGTGGGACGAAACGCGAGTACTGGATTCCACTGCTAGCCACTATCCATCTCTGCTTACCGTAATGTATATATATTTATGTATGATCTAGTTACATAGTAATTATGTAGTAAAAATGAATATATGTGTGAATATATGTAATAATAGTTCTGGAAGTTACCATTCTTCTGGTCTCCGTTTAAATGAAACAACACTATGTGATGAGTCAATTTAACGTTTCACTTCCAGTGTACATCGTTGATGACATGTATGTGAATAGTAATGCTCATTGATTGGTTTAATATGCTTTCCAATTGGTTTTCCAACTGTTTATGTACATTACTAACCACAATCGAGTTTTAGTCATTTGACAATTATTTCAATTTCTACATCACACTCATACACACACTGTCATCCAATTAGTCGAAAATTATAATCATGTATTAATTAGGTTATCTGGTCTGCAACTAAGAAATATCAACCAATTGCCACATCCATTGTGATTAGAATTTCGACAAGTGAATCAGATGGTATTATAGTTGTTAATGTTTGTATAATTCAGGTTATGATAATCAATTAGAAAAGTGAGATATTGTGAGGTTGAGACCATAGTCATGTAGCTGACCTAAGGAACGGTTTACCAACTGAAGTGACAGTGGAAATCGATGTAGATCACTGCCGTTCATTAGATGTCGAGATTAATCGTGTTGAAGTTTGAATGGATTATTCAATGGTAAAATATTTCGAAATTATCGCATGTTGTGATTATTTTGCGTGACTTTGTTTCGTTCAAATGTGTCTCCAAAATGAGTCTGACTGATATATGTTCTCGTCTCTGGTCGTTATATTCCTCTTATGTTTTCTTAAGTTGACTCCTATTATGAAATCGCAGTAGATCGTTTTGATTATTTTGAAGTTAACTAGTGACTGTGTGAATGATGCTGATATTTGTAGTCAGTTGATTTCTGTCATTACACATAAAAGTTTGCGTTGTGCACATGAGAAATAAAATCTGACAAGTTGACATCTGCTGTCCTCTTTAGAGCATTGAATTTATTACTGTTTGATACAATAAGCATTTACTGTGTTAAACATTCAAATTCAGGCAAGTGTTTCTGAACAGAATAAAGATTGTATTCATGAAAAGTCAGAAAACATTCAGATTTATTCTACTTATTGATATCTCCTTTCTTGAGGCATCATAATCCAATTAAATTTATGTCTTCTTCATAAAATGTTTTTATATTTCAGCTTATGGCAATCAATTGCAAGTAAGCAATATTGTGAGGTTGAAGCCATACTCATGTAGCTAGTCTAAGGAACGATTTACCTACTGAAGCAACAGTGAAAATGAATGAAGATCACTGTTATTCATGAAAGGTCGAGATTGTTGATGTTGAATAGTAGCATAAGTATCATGATTTGTAAAATAAATCACGGTTAGATGTACAACTCTGTGTAAAATACTTCTTAATCTGAAATATGAATATGATGGGGCGAATTACTAGATTTTTGTAATAGATATTTTTCATTTCATCCACTGATTTTTGATCATCTGCGAACGCTTAACATCCAGACCACTGAGCCAGCATCCAACAGTGTTAATGTCTAACTTCAACCGATCCACGATATTGCGTGACCGTCCACCATTGTCTTCAGTGAATAACTGCCTCTACAACAGACACGGTTGAACTCCATTGGTCACGGCTATTCACTAGAACTCCAGTAAATACCTCATGAAGCCAGTCACCAATGAGCACATAATGATTTTTATCAGAATGGGATTTTGTGGACATTCTAGTATGTTTTAATAGTTGAATTCATTAGTCGATTAAAGCCAGACCATCATGAAAAACCTGTAATTATTATCTAACTGACTCATTTCAGAAATTGTAGAACTACATTATTTACAGATCTTTGCTAGAACTTAGGAGACATCTATAAAATCTAAGTAATCTTAAAACACACTATTGCTAAACAATATCATAAAGATTTTGCTCATTAGTGAGATTATTCATAACATACTTCTACTTCATTTTCCCCTTAATACCAACAAGCGACTAATCAATTGGCATTTCTAAACAACGATGGGAAAATAAAAGCAAACATTAGCATGTGAATAAATTTCATATTTTACTAGAACGCTGAAATATATCAATAAGTAGTATATAAATCTGTCATAAAAATGAATAAATAAAAAACATGAAATGTATACTGTACCCTATGATATATAAAAATGAACTAAAATTGATGTTACTATATAAAAGTACATTAAAGTATAAGAAAATTATTCCAGTATTCGAAAAAACACATTATTTATGTCTTTAAGATATTGGTTAATCATTATTTAACTTCTAGGATTTCCACAGTGGTCTAGCTTCAATCGACTCATGATTTCAATTATAACATTACTAAAATCTCCACAAAACCCCCTTCTGATAATGATCAACATATGCTCACTAGTGACTGGCTCCATGAGTTATTTCCTGAAGTTCTAGTGAGAAGCGGCAACCAGTGGAGTTCAACCAGGTCTGTTGGGAGATATCAACTCACTGAAGACATTGGTAAATGGTCGCTCAATTTCGTGGATTGGTTGAGCTTAGGCATTAACACCGTTGGATACCGGCCGGTTCAGTTGTCTGGAGTATAAGCGCTCGCACACGAGACTGATAGGTTATAGGTTCGAATCTCATGAGGCGGGATCGTGGAAGCTCACTGCTGATGAGTTCCAGAATAGGACGAAACGGCCTTCCAGTTCTTCCAGGTTTTCCATGGTAGTCTAGCTTCAGTTGACTCATGATCTCAACTATGAAATTTAACTGATTCTTAGATAGAATTTATGAACTCAAATTTTACGAATTAGAAATAAATTTCTATAGATAGTGGAGATTTGTAGCCCAGGTAGATGATTTTGATGTAATTTTGTTTTGTGAGCTGGACGGTTTGGTCGTGGAGCTTTCATTGTCCTTCTGAACGACATCATCAGAAGGACGATGAATGTTTCATGACCAAACCATCCAGCTCAGAGAACAAAAATCCATCTAAATAAATTTATATTAAAACCTAATGTTAGCATTGTCATTCAAAAATGAAGATCTACGATGAGAATTGAAACAAGCAAAGTCATTTTGACTGATTAGAAGTTTGTGAATCTGATGTTAGTTGTGTTTGATTGACTGGAAATGGTAAGTCATCATCATCATCATCATCATCATCATCCTAGTTTGATTTATTTATCATTGGTAATGTAAAAACCGGTTGTGAGATTTCGAATTGGAATGTAAGTTTTTGAAGTTCATGGATTATGTTGTTGAGTTTGTCGTTGGATGGTTTATAGACCATGATTTTGAGTATCAGTAGATGATTGCGATTGATTTTGCGGCTGAATTTAATATTCACTATCACCATACTTTTATTGTTTGTTTTTATGACTAAGATTAAAATGATTGATCGTTCCGCTCAAAGTCCTGTAATAATGATCTTATACTTTTTTGACATACAATTGATGTTTAACATTGAAGAAATGGTAATCATGAGTTACAATGAAATGATCATAATTTATAATTGATTAACAAAATGGAACAATATTATTCTGTTATAGTCATTATGTTATTAGTAAATGTTAGTGACCCATTTATGTTGTTCGTGATAAATAACTAATCTTTTATAATCTACAGTTTTTATAACGATTTTATTGATTGATTGGTTTAGAATCCAATGGCATAGAAAATGAAAATTGGCATCAAAATTTACATAACAATGATCTCTATAGGTTTAACTGAAATCACATATCGCAAATGATGGAGAGAGGTATGTCTTTCCGAGTAAATGTAAAGTAATAATGAAGAAAACTACACAATAAACTTCACATTATAACTTTAAAATCACAATCTGATCATGACCATTTGACAAACTGTATTACACTATTTACTAATATAATTGAACGATTGACTTTAATGAACTTACGCCTGTTACCTCGCATGGAAGAGCATAGGTCGACCACCACCATTCTCCATCTAACTCTGTCCTCGACAATCCCTTCCAGTTATTTCCAATTCATATTCATTCTTTCTATGTCTCCTTCCAATTTCCGATTCAATGTGTTACTTGGTCTTCCATTTTTAAATTCCCCTTCACAATTCCATGTTAGTCCATGGATCGTGATGTAGTTCGACAATTTCTTCAATGTGTGTCCTATTCACTTCTAACGTCTTTTTCTAATTTCCTCCTCAGATGGAAGTTGGTTTGTTCTCTCACATAGTAGACTGTTGCTCATAGTATATGGTCAACGGACATCGAAAAATTTTGAAATGGGTTTGTTCTCAGAGCTGGATGGTTAGGTCGTGGAGCTTTCATCGTCCTTCTGAACGACATCATCAGCACAAACTTCGAGCACAAACTTCTACCCGAAGTTTG